TATATATATATATATATATATATATATATATATATATATATATATATATATATATATATATATATATATATATATATATATATATATATATTTCCTATATTATAATACTATATTATTCTTATTCACGTTCAGCCTTTTATTCACATCTGCACATTCAGCCTAACTGATAAACTATTTATTAATGGGGCCGGAGGCTTTGCAGCTTAAATTAATGGTAATTTAAGCTGCAAAGCCTCCGGCCCCATTGATGAGTAAAATCATCTGGCATTGGACAAGTAAAAAAAAAAGTAGGGTGCATTGCAGCTTAAACTAACTAGAGACATTGTAAGATTTTTTGGTTACTCCATTGACAAGTAAAATCATCTGGCGTTAGACAAGTTAAAAAAATAAATAGGGTGCACTGGGGCGCATTGCGGCTCAATAGGTTAAGCATGCCCAATGCAATGCTGGCCAGTGCTGGATTTTGTGAGCTGGCCTACACCACTGTCCGCCAAGCACGGTACTTAGTACACCCTAAAAAACAGGCCGAGTTCATGACTGCACATCAACATTTAACCATGAAGGGACCGGTATATGCAATTAAAACTGATAATCTAGCTACAGTCTAACAAATTGTTTGCTCAAAATTATTAGCTTAAAATAAGGCTCTGAAAAATTATTTCTTTTTTTGGGAGCAGAGTGGAGACTGCTGTCACTTTTTACAGGACAAAAGTACCTGCACTATCTGTTCGAGTGTGTGGTATTTCGGAACTAAGTCTAGCACCTTCGATACCAATGTGTATCCCAAAGGTCGCGGGTTCGATTCCCACCGTGGTGAGGCTAACTTTTCAGCCTGCCCGGTGTGGATATACACTCAGAGTAACATCAAAAACAGTAAAAAATAAAAATCAATAATTAATGAATATGAGATTTCCAATAAATTTTCATTCATATAAATACAAATTCTAAAAATTACTTACCTATTGGCCCAAAGAGGTTGGCTATGAGACCATTTGCTGCTATAACAGATTGGTATTTCAAAGCATGGACCCTTTTATGTCCATTGTAGACTGTCTTCTGATTTTTCTCTGGTCTGCAGAAAGCCCTTACTGTACCGTCAACAAAGCCCCAACAATTTCCCAAAGCATGATTTTTCTCATAAACAGCACTGGCATATTCTTGCAATTTGTTTGCTCGCAGCCGCTCTTGGTCAAAAGATGTTAGGAGGTAGCCATGAGAGCCAACAACAAATCTCATTACCTCGTTGCAAATGAGGCAAAGTTCAGGTTTTGACCTGCCGAATCTTGGTATGAGATCACTGTAACGACAAGGATATGCAAAACGTTTCAGGAGGATACACAATCCTTCCAGTGCACACGCTTTAGTGCCATTTTCACATATTATATCATCTGGAATTTGGAGAACTCGAACGAGTCGTGGTATGTCCGTCTTCGAAACTCGAAATTCCGATAAACATTCGTCCTCAAGCATAGATTCAAGCGCAAATCGATCATATTTCCAATAAGGAAATACAGGCGCTGTTTCTTCGCATTCCTTTACAAGCATATAAAATAAATCTTCTCCTATTAAGTCTTCTAAATACAAAAATACTGAGGCATCAAGTATATCTATTTATATAATAACTACAGTGAAACACGCAATTTGATTGGTCAACAGCCGTGCAGGATCAGACAATCCTGCACGGGAAATTCTGAACAGAAATTCTTGGACATAATTTTACAAATATACTCGCATTGTAAAGTTTCATTGTACGATACCTTTCGACTTTGAAGTAAGTTTCCAATTATTGAGACGTTGGTTTAGTTGTATGAATAAATTTCTGATCGATACATTGCTATTCAGCAAGTAGCAATGCGTAAGCGTTGAAATTCATCAGACCATGGCATGCAAGTACAACATCTGTCGCTTCAAAGTTGATCAAACGCTTCGCAATCTTCACATATTCAGGTCGAGAATCTTCAAAACTACTTTGGCTCTCTGTTTAGCGGGTTTTCCATTTCAAATTTCGTATATTTTATCGAAAAAGTCCCTGTATTTTCGCTGTATACTTTCGCGAATTTGCGATCAAATTCTGTTCACATATGTTGTTGTTTTCAATAGCGTGGAGTAGCGATTCTCTGATTGGTTAATTCACGAATGTTGTGAGAACTGCACATTTCATCAGTAATTTTAATCAAGTTAAGCGTCGTTTCACTGTAGTAATTTTATAAAACAATTAACAAATGGTTTTACCGTGCAGGATAGAATGATCCATGCACTTGGGATGTTGCTCGACTTTCGAAAAGCGTAAAATTAAACTCACCTACGGCTCGTGTATTTTTACGCTTTCCGAAAGTCTCGCAACATCCCGCGTGCATGGATCACGCAATCCTGCACGGAAAACCATTCGGTATTCCTTTAATCCGCCATTCTGTTTGTACTTTGTACTCGTTCCATTGCGTGACATCTAAACAAACCTTTGGCTGATAAGTCATTCTCGTACCCAGAGCCCTTCTTACGCGCGTTCGACCGAGCACGACGAGGGGCTCTGGCCAAATCCATATCAAACTGGCTTCTGATTGGCCACAACGAAATATATGGTTTATTATATTAAATATGAATAAAAATACACAAGCGCTCCACGAAGCGTTGGTTTCCCTTTGAAAATTGGGAGAAAAGACATTATTAAAGTTGAAAGAACAGCAGTACGAAGCAGTTAGGAAGATTGTTGTTGATAATCGCCCACAAAAGCAGTAGATGTCGCTAATTTTATTTATTTAACTGATCAATTAGTTGATTGAAATTAATAGGTTGAGACGTGATGTTCTCGTAACAAAAAGTCAGCATATTTATGGGAGATGCTCGTCGTATTTCCAAATCAGTGATGTTAATTAAACAAATCTGTGTTACATGTTCAAAGCTGAAGTGCCATCTGAAGAGAAAATATTAAAGCCAGCCAGAATATGAAGTTAATTGTGATGACTATTTTCTTCCTAGAAACCAATTTTTTACAATTTTCAAATGATTTGCAGTATAGTATGTCTTATGTATTACTGTTGACTTTTAATAAAACACAAAAAAGTCTAAAAATCTGTACAACAGCGACTTAAAATCGAATATAAAATAGTGAGACAATCTCTCGTCTTCGTATCCGTAGCCATTACTGCTTTGGCAACGTTTAAGAGGGAAATATATACTAAATTTTTATCAACATGCATTGAGAACATCACGTCTTACCTACTAATTGGTTTAAATAAATAAAATTAGCGAAACCTACCGCTTTTGTGGGGTTTTCCTGGAGAAAAACTTTCAAAACGAAACAAACAAGAAAACCGAAGTGTTTATCCGCGTTTGACGTTGAGCATGCGCAGTGTTTAACCGGATACCATGTTTTTATGGTATCCGGTTATGGATTTGGCCGGAGCCCCTCGTCGTGCTCGGTCGAACGCGCGTAAGAAGGGCTCTGGGTACGAGAATGGCTGATGAGTACGAGTTCAAGTTGGTCCCAGTCCACTTCTCGAAACTTGAACTCGTTCTTGTGCTCGTTCTATTATCTAAAATGTAGCCTCCTCCGCAGGCATCTCGTAGTTCACGTACTTCAGAAAGTCGGTGAGATGCCTGCCAAAACCCGACATGGTTGAGCCGTTCTGCGCATCTTGCTTGCGCAGCGATTTCGTCTCTAGGGTATATACGTGGGGGAGGATTTGTCATCCAAGATGGCGGATTGCATGGAGTGAAGAATTATGAAAATTAGTGAATTTATATTAATACGCTCGCTAAAGGCGGCTAAACGATTAAGAATACAGCTTTTGTGGACAATTGAAAGAATCTTAACCCGGAAATTAAAATTGTCATCAAATAATTTACATGTTGTCAGTTGACATATATTTTGTATATCTGTAAAATGGAAAACATCAAGGTTGACGTATATTTTTGTATAAGCTGTGGATA